TTTTCAAGATGTATTTTGCATTGGGGAAATGTTAATTATATATAACGGGTTTGCCCTTACCCAACGTATCCGACTTGCTGGTCGGATACAAAACTCTTGCTGATTAGTGGACTGAAAAAAAACAAAAAAGTACACAAACGAATGGTACACCTGGGGTTTTAAGTTGGTGTAGGTGAAGTGTTTATTTATTTTAGCTGCATTAGGTTTTCTCAAAAAGAAAATATGTGGGCCTTTTCTGTCTGAAAACATCAACCTTCAGTGCAAGTATATCCAGTTTGTACGGGTTACACATATATATCTGTTGTCAATACTCTGCAGCTAAATAATGAAAAGAGATGTCATCCCAGCGAGCACAGTGCCCAATCTGCAACAGGGAGTTTCCCATGCAGTCTATGAACAAACACATTGACAGTTGTCTTCTTGAGGAACATGACACAGATGATGGTGCGAAGTCATCAGATGGCCCACCGGGGAAGACGCTATTGTCCCAGAGGAAAAGAGCAAGGTTGTCATCGGAAGGTGCCCAGCCAGCAGCCTCCCCTGGGTTTGTAGAAAGGATGGGATCAGGAGAGGATGCCAGCCTTGATAAACCCAAAGAGGTTGAAAGTGACAGCGAATCGGGAAAGAGGAAACGACTAAACCAGTGGGGCTCCTTACTGCGGCCTGTCAGCAAGCCATCTAAGGCAGTTGTGGAGGAGCGGACAGCCAACAAGATGAAAAGTAAGCTGCCCGTTTCAAAGTCGGGACACAACCTCCCACAGAAGATGCCCTTATCAGATTTAGAAGCCACACCTCCTTCCTTGTCACAGTCGTCGTTGTCGTCACAGGAACTGTCCGTCCAGATGCCCGCTCGTCCAGCCAAGATGGAATTCAGGCCCCTGGCTGAGCGGGTACGCCCCCGGAGCTTTGCCGAGTTTGTCGGGCAGGAAGTGGCCATCGGACATCGGTCATTGCTCAGGCAGCTCCTGGAGAGTGATGCAGTTCCGTCCTTGATATTCTGGGGTCCACCCGGATGCGGAAAGGTTAGACCCTTGGAAGAGTACATTTCTCCCTGTCAACTGTTTCTAGTAGTTGGGAGTTGTGTCAAACAAAGAAAACATCACCCATGTTTATGAAAGTTATTGATATGCTTTGTGCTGCAGTTTAGCACCCCTGGCCTCAAGGACCTTCTGGTCAGAAAAGGGGTCAGAGAAGGAGAAATTTCAAAAGCTTCTTGGTTGTCATATCCCCATACCCCAACTGAGTACAGTAACAAAACAAAATCAGGCCAACTTCTATCTTCTGGAAAATTTCCATTCAGCATAGACAATATAAGGGCAAAAGCAATTCACCAGAATCATATTTCAAGTGAGAACTTTCTTCCAAATTGTGGACCACATATATACAGAGCAAAGCCCAGTCAGTGGTTTCACTCTGAAGAATTGTTAGACTGGCACCCAATCCAATTTCATCAAAGCATGAACTGCTGATTAAGTCTTGTGGCACAGCCTTACAGAGAGTGTGTAGGGTGTGCATGTACCAGTTACTTGTCTGGATAAAACTCCTGTTATTCTGAATAGGAGATATGGACTGGTTGTCTCGTGCCGGTCTGACTCTATCATCGCATAATATGTTTTAGCATCCTACAATTTGGGAGTCTCTTAAATAGTACTTAAAGTCTCATGTTCTTTTGCGCTGGCACAAGTCTACTGTACATGCACACATATTTCTATGCTAATCCTTTCTAACGCTGCTAACAGCGAAGGAACGGGAAGGGTCCCTCAGTTTTTTCTTCAGGGTTGTACCTGGCTGCATGTGTAGATATATCAGAGGATAAGTGCACGATACTTCTTTGTGATGCGTGGTTACCTGTTACCCTGGTGGTGTTAATGCCTTTTTTCCCCCTCTTCGTTTCAGACCACTCTGGCCAACATAATCGCTCAGCGAGCCAAAGCTAGCGGCAGAGCACGCTTTGTGTCCATGTCTGCCACACTAGCTAACGTTTCCACCGTCAAGGATGCGGTGACTGCTGCGGCCAATGAGCAGAGGATGACCAAACGCAAGACTATCCTCTTCATTGATGAGATACATCGCTTTAATAAACTCCAGCAGGTACAAATAATCGATAATAATTATAAAAGTATGTGATGTTCATGTAGTGCCTTGTTTTCCAGCAAACTGTCTTACAACCTCAAAAGCCCATGTACCAATGATGTCATACGTTGTTTACATGTCCACTTATCTGGTGAGCCAACAGGGTCCCACGGTCCAGTGAGCAACATTGGAAAGTACACGTGAAATCACATTGTGGTGTCGTTTTTAGAGAGGTCTGTTATTATTACCCCTGTTCACTGAGCCATTAGGTCAGTTTTTTGTAGCACCAGGTTGAGGTCGGCGCACTTTGAGTTGTTCTCTACCGTCACAGGTACTCATTATACTGGGTCAATAGAGGCAATTATGGTAAAGTGTCTTTCCCAAGTTTTATAAGCACCATGGAATTTCTAGGGTTCGAACATGGGCTGACTTTTATGTTTTAAGTGTCAGAGAGTCTGTGTTTGATAGTTGAGTATCATTCTGTTGGTTCAAAACTGCTTCTGTCTTGTTGTTTTCCCCTGCTTTTCATAATCTTTGTGACGACGACTCTGAACCGCAGGACACATTTCTCCCGCACGTCGAAAACGGCACCATCACGCTCATCGGTGCCACCACCGAAAACCCCTCCTTCAAAGTCAACAGCGCCCTTCTGAGCCGCTGCCGGGTGATAGTCCTAAACAAGCTGACCACTGATGAGCTGGTGCTAATTCTGCGGAGGGCGGCCGCCGAGCTTGGGGTGGCTGTACTCGAACAGGGGAAGGAGGTGAAAGGGAATGGGCAAGAAGGTAGCAGTGATGACAAACAGGCAGAGAGCGGACCTGCTGACAGCCGGTAGGCACTACTTTTAGAATTACTGGTTCACTAGACAGAGCAGTGATGGCAGTAGATACCTTGATCTCTGTCCCCTTCACCACCAAATATTCAAATATTCTAAATTGCAAAACAAGTAGGCCTTCCCAAAAGCAATTTAAGTCATCCACAAAACCTACCCCACATAAGAATTATTGTTTATAGTTTTGAATTTGTCCCATATACAATTTTCTTTTATTGGATTCGCACTGTGGCGAGGATCATGTATCTCTCTCATTTTCAAGCTTGGGAAAGACTTCTGTTTGTCCACATGTAACACAACATTATCAGAGATGATGCCGTGCATAGGAGGTGAGCAGGAAGATCAAACCAGTTGAGGCATGTGTGCATCTTGAACACAGTGCCCATATGTAATCTGCAGCTCTGGCAGTTGATGGTGTTTTTCAGATCATCCATTTGCATAGAGAAGACAGCCTTGACTTACCTTGCCAATCTCTGCGACGGCGACGCGCGGAGCGCCCTCAACACACTGCAGATGGTCACTGAGTCGCAGCTTGCCGTGCCTCAGCAGAGCGCGAATGGGGATTCACAGCACTATGTAAACGGTCCAGGAGTTGGCTGTGGCACAGGACCGAAGTGCCCCATCTCAGTGAGCCATATAAAGGACGCACTGCAGCGGACTCATGTTATGTACGATCGGGAAGGTAAAGTTTTGAAACTTCTAGTCTCATTTTTCAATTCTTGCAGAGTTATGGGTGGATAAAGCACTCATTGGATTGGCAGACAAATGGCAATATTTCACGTCATAGGGCTCTTCTCAATGTATAATACATACGTGCATACATGTGCTTTTTCCTGTAACCACTGGTTTTCTTGTTATTCGGCCGTTACACGGACTCTTTATCTTTCTAGCAGTGTGTAATTTGTGTGCATTCTGATGAAAATTGGCTGTATGTTCTCTATGCCATACACAAACCAGTACATACATGGCCTGGCCATTACCGCAGTGAGAGGACAATTTCTTTTGTTAAGAAAGTTGAAACCAAGTTGGTCCCCACAGATCAATAATTCAACAGATGTAGTTCCCACCCCCGCCTATAGAACAAGCAGGTCTGCGCATACATGTGCAAGCTCCCGTGAGCGACAGCACAGCTGTGGTGTTCCTACAGGGAGTCTGTGGATCTTGTGTGGTTCAGTTACTTAATAATATTTGATGAAATAGCATCGTCTTTGTGTAACCAAAAAAAAAGGGGACGAACACTACAACTGCATATCAGCGCTTCACAAGTCGATGCGGGGTAGTGACGCAAATGCAGCCCTGTACTGGCTAGCCCGCATGCTCATTGGAGGAGAGGACCCTCTGTACATTGCACGCCGACTCATTGCATTCGCCAGCGAAGACGTCGGTGAGTATCATCATTTGAATGGAATGGGTTAAAATGCAGGGAATGATAAATGATAGTGAGACATATAAGTTAGCATACGACAGTTGCCCGTTGTTGCTGAAGTAGCAGATTTTCAATGTTGATGATGTTTCTGTATTTTCATGACTTTGGTAAAGAATGATTGGTAAGGTTGCCTGAACAACTTAATTTCAAGCCTGTTTCCTGACCATTCTTTGTTTTAGTAATGAAATTTCTCCCAGTGACTTCTAATCAAAGTTCGCCATCAGGTCCGGTCAGCTGGCTGTCTCACCTATGAACGATTGGTGAATTTCAGTGCAGTTTTATATTGGAGAGGCAAGGTCCTGCACATTGGGGTTCAGTACACAGGGGGCTAGTGCTTGGAGGGTCTCACTCAGCCCAGTCGCCAGTTTTGGGCATTGAAGGAGAGGCATGGTTCCTGCTAGGGGAGCTCATCACAGGATCAGTATGGCTCTTGCCGGGGGGGGGGAATGCATATTATTTTTTCTCATCAATCCCTAAATTAGGGGAGGGATTACAAGTGTCGAGTGGGAGGCTCTGTGCGATTCCCTACCCCTCTGTAGTTCACTGACATTCTTTCTGGCTTTGGCCCTAGGTCTAGCCGATCCGCAGGCCTTAACTCAGGCGGTATCAACGCACCAGGCCTGTCATTTCCTCGGCGTGCCGGCGTGTGAGGTGAGAAGTTTCCTCCAGAGCTTGATTTCCATTTCCTCGCCATTAAAGGACTTTGCCGCCTCTACTTAAGTCGTCTCTTGCTGAAAAATTAAACCTCTTCCGTGAGCAGAATGCCGTCAATCTTTGTGCTTTTGTTGAGCACTAACTGCTTTTTGTCTGGCTGCACCGTTGTCATTCATTTACACCCACGTGAACCCATTACAGAATTTATGATAACGGACTTCGCAGCTGACAGCACATCTGGCTTGTCAGGGATTTAATGTCATTGCAACAAGTTATCCATAGACACTGAGTACAGAAACCACCCACTCAAACCCATCAAGTCAACAAGCACAGACATCCAACACCCACACAGTCTGTAGTGCTCCACATAAAACGTGCACTGTACGGAGGGTGGAAATGAGTTCAATGTACATGTAGGGGTCACTAGAGCCTCCTGTGCAAATACTGCCCTGGGCCTTGTGGTTCTTTGACCGGGGAAATTTTGTACAGTGATGTTGGTTTCCAATTTTCTTCATCAGGTGTCAAATGCTTTTAAACTCTTAGCCAATGTTCTCATTTGAAAAAAAAAAGTACACGATATCTGCTTTTTGGATAGGTTTTCACTTGTTTTCGTCTATATGTTTGTGCTAATTGCTCTGACCTGCGATTGACCCCATATTGTGTTGAATGCACTTTAGTCATGGCATACAGTCTAATCTTGGCAGATGCCACAACTGTGCTGGTCCACACGCTCACATCACACACATTTATCAACTTGAGGCACATATGTATTTTGTTCAAGCCATAACTCTATTGGTCAGAGGCATTTAACGTTGTAGGCACATGTGCGAGTGGGTCGCCATGGTCACTGCTATAGCTTCTGGGGCTGACAGCAAGTCTAACTGAACAACTTTTCCCAATCCAGTGAGCCCCTCATGTACAAAGAAAGCTAATGTACTAAGCTGAAAATGGCAAAACAAATGAAGATTTTGCTGTGGAAACATGGTATGGTGATACAAAGTACAGGATTTTTACTAGAATTTGTAATGGGGTTCAGTTTGCCCAATTTCAAAGACGGACTACTTGCCCCGGGGGAATTTGTTTACTAATTTAATCAAGGTAAACTCGCTGGCAGAATTGCAATCTTATTTTCTGCCATTTTTTAAGGTGGTCCTTGCTCAGTGCGTGATCTACCTCGCCAAGGCCCCTAAATCCAGCATGGTGGAGTGTGCCCTCATGAGCGTCAAGAAGCACATCCAGGAGTACGAAGGTCCCCTGCCCGGTGTGCCCCTTCACCTCCGGCCAGCATCCACCCAGCTGATGAGGGACCTAGGTCATGGGAAGGGGTACGTGCACAGTGCTGCAGCGGGTGATCAAAGGTTCCTGCCCGAATGCATCAAGCATGTGGACTTCTTTGACAATGCTGATCTGTTTCTGTAAGTTGCGCTCTCCTCATCAGAGCAACTTTGTAGTGGTTGGTGTAAGTTTCTCATTGAAGAGCAAGTTCAGCTGAAGCTCTTCCTCTCAAAGGAGTAGGTTGTTAGCGGCTTTACAGGAGTGATTGTAGTAAAGTGGCTTGCTCAGCGACACATGTGGGTGGAGTTAACAAATGAAAAACTACCACAAACATAGCACACATTGGAGTTCGATGCTCCATGTCACCTGCACTAAAAGCAAGGTAGGTTAGGCATTGAGGAAATTCATCCCAGCCCTTTGAATACTTCGTATAGAACCACCACCTTCCTTCTGTCTGGTCTTGTATCAGTCTCCACTACAACAGTGGCCAATGGCTTGTTAGTGCACTTCTTATATGGGCTGTGCCGAATATCCGAATCGATTGTCGAATATTCAAATATTGTTTTTCAAATTTGAATATTCAAATGCAAAATTCATGAGAAGGGAAAATTTTCTTTAGTTTTAAATGAGAAAACTTGTTTCAAGCAGATTCTAATGAAAAGTGACAGAAATCTTACATCGATTTAAATTTAAAAAGTACATTATTCCATAAGCAATTAAAAGGAATAGAAATTTTCAAAAGGGCAAGAAGTCTTGTTCATCTCTTAAATCTTGCTAAATCGTTGCTGGAGATACTCCTAGATATGAGAAGCTATAATACTGATCATAATGTACAATTGTGTGTATTATTACAACTGATTTTGTATATAGTTTGTTCATCAACAATCTACCAGTTGGTGCGACCGAATATTCGGATATTCGATCAAATTGTAAATTGAATATTCGAATAGGGAATTATTCGAATTGACTCAGCCCTAGTTGTCTCACATGCAGCCTCAGTGTTCCACATGGTTTTTCAAGGAACAGTTTGAGTGCTTTGAATTTGTAGTTCGTCAGATCTTTCCCTCAGTGACTCAAACTTTTGTATTTGGTAAGGAAATGAAAATCAGCACAGCAGTGTAGGATGTGGACCATTGAAAACGAGTTCTGATTTATCACCAATGGCATATTTTATTATTAGAAAAAAATCACACCTTTTTTAATTGATAAATACACAGAACATTGCAAATAAGTCATTTTGTACATACGCCAGTGACTGCATGTATGTTAATGTTGGCATTGTAGCATGCCCCTCAGTACTGTCTGTGTCAAGTAGTCCCTTGTTGATACATGTATTTAAGCAATTGCTACATTGCAATGTAAGCACAGAGTCCTGTCTATTCTAACATGGAGTGGGCAAATGAATACAATACTTTACCCACGAAGAAACGTGTGGCAACATCCGTAGGAACGAGGGACAATTCTGACACAATCTACTTTAAACACCACATAGCATTAAGGCGCATATTGCATGATTGATATTACGCTCTCATGATGACATCTAATCAGTAAAAGAACAAGTACATTATTGGCCCACACAGCTTGGGTTACTTGGTGGCTTTTCATTTGCCATACTGATGGATTTCCCGAAAGTGCTTCTGTGTAATTTTTTTTTCTCTCCATACCGTAGATAAAACTGACTTGCCTTTAGGTCAATAAGTTATTGTAAATTTATTTCCCTGTAAAAAAGGGAAAAATGTATTCATGAGAAAGGTAGCCTGGGAAATGATTTTCCATAATTGGTAAAACAGTTACCTTTAATTGTACCTCAGTATAATATAGTTACTTGTTACAGCCAGTAACAACTGACCTGAAAACATGATCTTGTTTGACATGGTAAGTTTTCATGTGCATGATATTTTGCCATTTTTATTTTTCTAATGAAAGTGATGTAATGGATAAAACTGAAATAGTCAGATGTTTTATGATGGAAAGAAGAAAATTGTAACTTTTTATGAAGGTGTCGTCACGTACACGCCTTGTGCCAGCAACAGGACAAAACAAAGTACTTGCAGCATAAAAGCTTAACTTTGGTTATGTTTCCTTGCCTCTTTCTAACAAGGCTCAGCCTGCGGCATTTTGGAATCTTACAAATAGTAATTCAGTCATGACGGACCTGTTAGATAAAAAAAAAAATCAAATTTAAGTACTTTTAAAAAATATTGACAATAATCGCATACATAAGATTCAACTGAGCTTGCATGCTGAAGGCAATACTGTGTGGACGGAAGATCAACTTAAAAAGCACTTCTTACAGTTTGTTAGAAATGACGATCGCGTGCAGTGCATACAGTGTAAAAACTGAATATCTTGTCTTCAAAACCCAAATCACACAAGGCAAAAGCATGTTTAAAGCAACGAATACTGTACAGAGAATTGCCAGGTGAAATATACCCCACTGTAACATTAATTGCTTATGATATCCAGTAACCACACAATTCAGGATATGAACAAATGAGTAACAAAAATACAGTATGTACAGGTCTACTTCTGTTAAAAAAAGAATCAGTTACACAGAATACATATTGCTTGTTTTGATTCGTACCCAAAATAAATGAAGCGAACAGCAGATGATAGAATTTTTAAAATCTGCCCAAAGTTTGCAGGAAGCTGAAGAGACGTATCCAGCTGGACAAATGGCTCTGAGAAAATACACAGGCTAGCTAAGCTGGGTATCCAAACACATGGACTAATCTATGCCTTCTCTCTAACAGATGAAACAGAATAACTGTTTTTGCCGCTTACTGTTTTAAAATTATGACATACAGGAATACAGTGGAATACGTTTAAAGTAAAGCATCACTGGCGTCTGCAATATACTATGAGTGGGAACTTTTCACAGCCAAGGTGAGCTCAGAGATTGGCTGGTTTGGCAGCCTCTGATACCAATTTTTAACAACAGGTGTCTCTTGCTGAAGTGTGGGTAAATAATGAATGGCTTCAACTTCAAGTCGCAATTTGAAATTTTTACACGACACTCAACTCTGGCTTATTCTGACACAAATCTCAACAAGTATCAATTTCTGGCAACTCTTTTGAGACTGAAATATTTAGCTGCAGTGGATGAACTCACCACTTCTAGCCCAACTTGAACACGGGCAGAATTACAAAAGTGAACTTTATTGAGGAATGCTATAGGATCTGTACAGTCATTTACAAGATACCGTGCACGATATGGGGCCGATGGGTACCCCCCACCATGTCCAATCCCTGTACACACTCTAGACTATTGTTACCTAACACATCTCCCCCCAGAAGTCTGTACAGAATTCCTGAGATTCCGATCAAACAATGACCAACACAAAGGCAGGGGGTTCTCTCCGCCCCATATCTTGCATCATATGATTTACAAAGGAAACACTCTTAAGTGTTATGTTCAGTTCACTGGCTGGGCAAATTTTCCAGTATCTCAACATTCATCTCATTATGTGACCTCTTGTTCAATGGGAATTTTCTATGTACACTGTACATGTACTTCGAATCTCTGATTTTCAGGAATAGCTCATTAAAAATAAATTTCACTCAGGTTTTTAGGTAGAGACAAACGGGAGGGGAGCCAGACATACCTACAACTCACTTGCAACTGGTCTATTTGTTCTTCTGGAAATAGTGACTCTTGACAGAGCGTCTGTCTGAATAAGTGTTGGCCATTCCAAATCCAGAGGGAAAGAAATCACGCTGCCCCTCGCCTGTTATCTGTCGAAGGATGCCTGCTCCTCCAGGAACAGCAGCTGGTCAATCAGGAAACAGTCACTGGGGTTCTTGACAAACTTCTTCAGCCCCTTCATGATCTCCCCCTCATCCATGGTGGTATCGCCCGCCGACCTTCTGTCGCCGAATCGCGCTGCCTTGAGGAATGCGTACGCATTCTTGAAAGACTCCTTGCCGATTTTGCGTTCGCACTCACTGGCAAGAACAGGGCAGTCAAGGAATACAAACCAACAAAAAACAAAACTCTAAATGTGGATTCAAAGCTATCCCGCGAGATGGAAGTGAAAAGTCTCATCAATGGACCTTTTGCACAGTGGCCATCTTGAGGGTCAGGGGTCTAGAATGAGTGCAAGTAAGACTTTTGTTTACTCATGGTTGAATACAAACATAATGTGGCCCAAAAATGCCCTCCAAGATTGTTGCCACGTATGAGGTTTATACTGACACTGACAGCAAAATAAGAAAACCAAATTTGAATCGACAAGACATCAAAGAGTGAATTGCCAATCCGACTCTCTGCGTCAACACTCATTTACTCTGATTCCAAAGAATTATTTCTTTCTTTTAAATAAGTAAATCTATTTCAGGTTATACCAGTCTCAATACCTTCTTGTCTTCTAACATTTACAATATTTCAGATTATTTTCCCTCACTAAAAAGGGTAAAGCTTTTGGTATAAACTCTCAGCAAAAAGGATACACTCTGAGATTTCGGATTTTGGTCTCTCTCATGGCTGGGGAGAAGGGACTGAGAGTGTTGTCTTTCAGGGTTGCACCTTGATCTGGAGAAAGGGAACCAAAAAAATCATTTCCCTCCATTAAAACAACGGAGTATACCACACAAAAATAGGATGTCGTCAACAGACCTGAGTGCTGGGAAAGGAAAAAAAATGAGATGGCATCTTACCTCCAGAATCCGTATCCAATGCACTTTGCATGCACTCCATCAATGCATCGTAGTCATCCTACACATCAACAAAACGAGAGTACAATGAAAGTGGGTTACGGCCATGACGCACAGATCATGAGTTGTTTGATAGCTGTTACACAGGTATCAACCATTGTTCTTATCAAACTTGAGGATGAACATGGTCAATGTGACAGTAAGCGTTGGTAAGACATTCTAGAGGTCAGTGTTGCGTTCAAGTCATCCAGTCTCTAGTCAAGCCACCACTTCTCACAAGAAAACTGACTCGGACCGGCCCGCTGACCCTGGCAAGCTCGGTGGTCAAGTAGTTAAGACTTCTGCACTATTAATCAGGAGGTTGTGGGTTCGAGTCCCACCAGAGTAAGCTTGTGAATTTCTTCGCAAGCACTTTGGCTATTGAACACTGAGCATACAGTGTTTTACATCTGTCGGTGTAAGAACAAAACCCACTATAAAAACTTCTCGCAAGCTTTCAATAGAATGACATCTCACCTCGGTAAAGTAATTATGACCTCTGCTTTGACTTTGTGATCTGCATGTGACCTGAACTTGTGTCAAAGGCATGATTATAATGTGAGACTTTGGCTTGTGACTCGACAGGCCATCCAGCACAGCGCTATACTACATTACTACAGAGCCAACTTGGCATTCTCCACGCAGAAAGCTTTGAATGGCTCTTGAGCGCAGGCGTTTTTAATTCATGCGCATATTTGTCAATGCTCTGAAATACAACGAACTGAATTCCGAATGGTGTACTATAAATGCAGTGTGCAAGAACATTACAGGTATAGGCAACTAACAAACAGTGCATTTTTTATCATATGCGTGTCACATTAGGAACACCTCAGCAAATTTCAGCACAATGCACTATAGCTCAATGCCTGTGACAGACTCAACTGGAGGTCTTAGGCTCAGATCTCCTCATCCATCAGGTATTTCTCTGTATTCAGCCCTGAAAACAGATTTGAAACACTCACATCCATGTCGGAGCCCACGTCATCATCAGATCCAGATTCTGAGCCCGACTCGAAGTCTTCGTGCTGTGAGTAGTAGGTCTCTGCAGCATCTGCATCGGCTGGGATCGCCTCAGCGACCCTGGACAGCACCTTGGTGGGGGATTCCAACTCTTTTTTAGCCGGGGCGGCTCGCTTTGTAGGGTTCATGGGAGGGGCCTTCTTAACTGGCGAGGATGGAGACTTGGCGGGCTTGACCCCTTGCGAGGTGTTGAGTGGGCTTGGCTTGCCGCCCTTGGCCGACTTTTGAGGGGCTGGTTTGGACTGCTAGTGGGTTGGTAGAAAACAGGTAATTCATTTCCATGATTTTTTCATGTTGGTAGGTGTGTGGCTTAATGGTTGGTCTATGACTCATAATCACAGGGTCTGGGGTTCGAATCCAGCTGCTGGCTGTAGGTTGTGGCCTTGTGTAAGCCACCTCATCCCGCTGGCCTTGATCCACCCAGAGGTATAAGTGGGTACCAGCATCAGCCGGAGACTGACACCCCATCCCCAGTTGCTTCTTGTCAAGGACAGTGGGGATAAAAACTGGCCTGATTAGACGCAATGGCCCAGAACCAACAAAGCCCTTTTGTTTTTCATACTTGAGTGGGGAAAACCAATCAGGGGTGATATCTCCTCTTCTTTACATTCTACCTCGCAGATTCAATCGTGCCTTCTGTGTTGTTATCTTTGCCAAATTTTTGTTCAGGGTTGTAATTACTCTTATACACAATTGGGGTCTGCTATCTGAAGTGCACATGCTGCATTTAGAATGCAGTCGAACTCCTTTAAACATAAGTGACTCTTGAAAAATACTGTAAATCAATTAAATGAGACAATACCAAACTCAGGAAAACCACTCAAATTTCATTCGTAGTTTGCCATCATAGGGCGCAACAACAGTTACTAAAAATGTTTGTAATTATGATTACAATGATTCAATGATTCAATCTTTGAGGACATTTTGGAAAGAATTGTGTTTTTGCACCTGTGTCTGTTTTCCTTTGGCTGGCTCCTTCTTCTTCTGGAGTGGTTTCAGGCCCGGCGGGGTGGCAAGAGAGATGTTGGGATCGTCCAGATTGATCTTCTCCTTGAGGGGAGTGATGGGGCGATTGTCACCTGCTGACGGTGCCTTCAGCGTGCTCATACCTAGAAGAGGAAATCAAAAAAAAGAAGAAAACATTGCCAACATTTGCCAGGAGGGAGGTTTGTGACAGGAGGGTAACTTTTATCCAGTGCAGCATGCAATGCTCAGAGGGCCACCTGAGCCACAAGCAAATATCTGGCTTTGGATACAATGATTGTGTTTTTCAAATCGGAACTTCAGAGACAGAGACTTCAGAGACTTGTTTTATATTACTAAATCGTCAGCATCTTTAGGATGATATGATTATACAAAGACTCAACTCCAAATTAAAGACTAAGGTTAGCCATTTCTTCACTGACTCTTCCTTGAGTGGTTCCTACGTAGGTGCTTTTATAGCTTACAAGAAAATAGGCCCATCTGCCTCTATTTCCATGGCATTTAAGCAACCACGGCAGTAACACTTGTCATGAACATTTGTCAAGTTTTTCCAGTCCAAACAAGTGACTGGAAACAATTTTAAAGAAAGGGGGAGCTACACAAGGGCTTTTTTTTTTACTTTTGTAAGTTGTCAGTGGCACCGATGCCCCGACTAAAAGCAAAGCGACAAAAAAGAGGCAATATAAGGAGGCAATACCATTTTTAGTAATTAAGATCTTGCTCTAAATCATCTTGTGAAGCATGGGGTCTAGCCACTTACCTTCTTCACTGTACGGGTTAGGTGACACAGCTGGCTTAATGGGTCTATCGTCATAGGATTGGTATGGACCTAAGAGAATAGCCAATACGACATTTCCCCATTAATGTGGTGATTAACAGGAAAATATTCAGTAGCAGAAACAATTAACTACCAAGCTCTCATACAATACCACAATCAGCTCCTAGTCAGTTTCCCAAATGGTTTGTTGGTTAACGCTTTCATGGAATGTAAATTGTTCTTGACTATCGGATGATTTCTGGCCAGCAAATCTATCAGATGAGCTTTTTGTATCCTCTAACCAGCTCCTGAAGTTTGCTTCAACTCTGGTTGAACTCAGTTTCTTAAGTCTCCACTTTAATTGGGACAGATTCTGGTTACCTTGAGGATTTATTTTATCGCAACACTGAACCATTCTTCCGAGCCAAACTTTATTCAACAGTTTGCAAGAAGACTAATGGAAGCATGCTGTGTGTGCAATTTTGGACCTTCAGCTTATTGTCACCCCCAAGATCTTTTGCATTTTAATTCCTCTGAAGAACTACTTGTACGAATGATCTGACACTGTCATGTCAGGTGGAATGTTTAGTGTTGGGTCTTGCTTCAAGCTGCCATTCTTGGCCACAGACCTTGCTATATCACATTTTACAAAACAGCTGCATAAATCTCAGCCATCTGCTTGGTGGATCATTGAACACGTGCCATTGAATAATCAGTTCTGTTCAACGGTACCCTTGACTAAAATGTCATTTCACTTGACTGGTTCCCGCCCCACGATTCAGAATTTACTTGATCTCGTTAGACTCTGGGAACATACCTTCCTTTGTGTATGCACTGGGAGACACTGTTGGCTTGACAGGCCTGTCATCATAGGAATGGTATGAAACTGAAATCCAATATCAATGAAGCAAAGGTCAATAACACCAAAGCTTTCTACTACTGTAAAACTTACAGAAGTGAACTTTTAAATGCTGAGATGTGATGACACTTCTGTACAGAGAGCTTGAGCCAGTAAATACAAATCCCTCTCCATCGATGAGTTCATCATGATGACAAACATGTACATGTCGATAATCGTTCATTTTGATATTGACGGTGCATGAAGCCTTCTGTCCATATTATTTCTTGGAAGAAGTTTCATTATTTCAAAGGCCCGTTTAAAATGTAAGAGATGACACTGGAGGGCAAACACTTAGAACGCTTCTTGTAAAAATGGAATGTGAAGCAAGCACGTGACTTCAAGTTGGAAGAAAAAACTTCTTGATGGGGAATGTTGAAAAACATCCAATTCTTTTTTTTGGGCCGAAAGCTTCTGAATATTTCAACAAGTTGATCGGCATTGCAGAAACATCGAATCTGATCATGGGATAAAACACGGCACAATATCTCTGGCAGCAGTGTTACCTTCTCGGACAGTGCCCATGTCCTCTCGCTCCCAGTTACTGACAGTGTCCCCCATCCCTCCACTGTCATCATAATAGGTGTCTGGTGACGTAGCTGGTAGCCGGCCCCGGAATGACCCCTCGCTGTAACCCTGTGAGCGCTCACCGTAATGCACCGGTTGATGTTGCTGCGTATGGCAAAAACAAAATGATCAGGTGATCACAGTAGCCAACAGAAACTGTCCTTTCATTTCTGATATAAGACTGTGTTGAATATTCAAATATTGGAAACTTCTGACAATCTTCAAATATTCAGAAATATTTTTAACATTTCTTCACTTAATTTGGACCCATTTTTAAACATGACCCCCCCAAAAACAAATTCTCAGCATTTTACAATGTTTCAACCTAATCACTACTTACTACAAGCAGCAGTTTTAGGCCGAAGTGAAAAGCCATTTCAAAATGACAGTGTGTGGTTTTGTGCGCTCTTATAACTGCTACTGTTATTGCTTTCTTCACCCAAAACTGTGCTTCTGGTAACACTGGGCATTTGACTACACCATCAACGGAAATATGAACATTTCACTATGAAGTCTTTTAAAAATTTGGGGGGCCAGTGTTGTAGTTGAGCCTATCACAAGTCCGGTCATAAGTAAGCGGAGGAAAAATGGCAAAGGAATGTTTCTGTTACAGTTCATTTTATTTCAAGTATCTTGTGACTTGGTTTAACCACTTCGCGCCAGGCCCATTTATCCATGTTTATTCTGCTGAGCTGGGTGATTTTTCATTTTTTTCTGTTTTCAAATTTTTTTGAAAATTCATAACTTCATTTACTGGACATTTACACACACCCGAATGACTGTCTGGTTGATACTCTAATTTGACAGACAACATCTATTGATGCCCAAGTATTTCAGCCAGGCCTGCTGCCTTGTAAAAAAAGCCCAGATTGTTCGGTGTTATGTAATTTTCTTTTGTTCCCGAAATTGGCAGTGCGCTGCTGGCGTCTTTTCAATAAGGGCCAAATTAGCGTGCAGCGGTATTGTATCGCTCATCATTTGAGCGCTGGAGCGCTTTTGTCACCGGTGGAAATCCGCTGGTGCTGAATGCCACAAACAGTGGTATAATCTTTCAAAACAATGACGGATTTCCTCTGCTACTGACAACTGAAAAAAGGTTGCCAATTCCCAGCAGCTTGGTCTTTTGTTCTGAGTACGGTCTTTTGTTACAAGGCCCAGCTCTTTTGTCCGATTTCGGGCAGCCTGGCATTGCATGTAAAGAAAATGAACCCGAAACCGGGCTTCCTGTCGCAAAGTGGTTAAGACTGGATGACCTATGGTGGACTTGTTGTGAACAGGCAGGGACTGGTGATGGACTCAATAGCAAGACTTGACCGGGCCATTCCGCTGGGCCTGGGTCAATTCTCACTGAGAGAAAGAATAGGGAGTAACTTTAAGTCCCCACATGACCCTGTCAGTTCACATCAAATCACAAAATATGGAGGGCCTGACGTTTCGATCCTAGCAGAATCTTTCTCCAAGGCAGAGTGACAAGTGGACAGGACAAACCAAGCATGGACACATGCAGGACAAAAGGAAATGTCAAGAAAGCTGCAGGCTGGATAAAGGGGCCAGGGGTAAAGGGGACTGCATGAAAAGCATGGTTGAGTAACAAAGGGATGTAAGGTGGGGAGAGATCAAAAAAATCTACAATGGAACTAACTGGACCCAAGGGGGGAGGGGTTATAATCTGCAGACAAAAGAGACGGAAAGAAAAGAGTGTTAGTAGTCCCTTCTTGGATGTTCAGGACATGGGCTGGGGTTGTATGGTGTAGAGGGGATTGATCCAAAGCTTCTCCCTGTTGAAGCAAAACAGCATCTTCATGGTGCCCAAGTGATTCTATGCCCTGTAAGATCACGTCAATATATACCTAGACTTCAAACGGAATTGGTACTAAAATGACAAGCTAAACGACTTGGAAACACAACAATACTAGTGTTGAAAGCTTTCAGCACACTGCCTTTACACACCAATGCCCTTCAGATCCCATCTACAGTCAACTCTTGGTAATACGAGCTTGGGTAAGACAAGATTCCGGTTAAGACGAGCACATTTTGCTAGTCCCACCCAAAGTGTGTACACTCCTATGAGGAAAAAACTTTAAGATGAGCTTAGGTAATACGAGATTTTGGTTGAGACGAGTGCTTTTTCCTGTCCGGTCGAGTGCAAATGTATTGTTATCTCTCTATTTATCACAAGTATTTTGAAAACAACTTGTCAATCAACAAATCAATTCAATACGGGTGCTGTTGTACATGAGCACGGTGTGGTAATAATGCTCGCTAATCCATGACTGCAGTTTTGGACATTGTAGATTCCCAAATGATCAAAGGGGTTTTCTATGTGGGCGCTTTCATGCAGCCCCTTAATGTGATGGACAGTGTTTGTGATTCCCACGCCACCAGAGGACCTGACCAGATTGAAACTTGTTATAAACTCCCCACCAAAACATGACAAGAATAAGAAAATGCCCCTACCCAACTTATAAACTAAAGTAAAATTCATTTGTTGTTAAAATCCATTTTTCTCTTAACCGTAGATATCCTTTTGGAAGTCAAATTTGTGAGTTCTGAATCCCAAAAATTAAAAAACCCCTTCATTTCCCACTAAAAATATATTATCCAGGCCCCGACCTATGCCTTCTATTGTCTACCAAAAATTTGCTGGTTTCCTTCACTTTGCACATGTATAAAATTGCATCTGTTTAGTCGGTCACCCACTATGTTAATGTACTTATGTACGCGTTCCCTCGCAACAGCGACCACGCCGTGCAGGTTACGTCACTTCAACAATGATTGGTGATGAGTCCACTTGCCCCTTTGTTGCGTTTTATTAATTTCCACATCGTTCTTCTTAGTTACAGTATAATATGTTTTATTACAACACTTTAATCTACATGTAGGCCTACATGACACTTTCACAAATAACATGTCAGAACCGTTTTGAAAGTAAATTCGTCGACTTCAACAGTAGTACAATCGACAAACGACACACACGAGTGGGAAACAACTTTCGCTTAAGATGAGGTTCCGGATAACACAAGATACTTAAGTCCTGAGGCCCTCGTATTAACGAGAGTCGACTGTACTCTGAGCACACATTGACACTGCCTTAGGCACTGCAGACACGGGTTCCGATGGCACGTGATGCTGCCACGGAGGTCCCAGACACAGTCTCAGTGAGGTACAAATAGCTAGAAAGTATGTCGTTCCATGCCTACCTCTCCTCGTCCACCTTGCCAGGCTGGCCGGTTGAAGGTCCCTATCGTCCCCTTCAGTACCTCCTTCCTCTGGATGTTCTCCACCAGGTTGTTTCTTGCATGCGCACTGCCGGAAATAAAGGATGTGTCGTTTCTACATTTCGGTGCAGGGGAGGCGCATAACACTGTGCGGGCTACTCACGAAAAACCATGGACTCAGTGGTTGCCCCCCCCATTGTTACATGCAATCATTGCACGGAATGCACATGGCCAATGTATTGACAGAATGTACACGAACACACTCAGATGCTTCGCTAAGCGGAATGCATCGATACATTACCCAGAATCTCAACAAAATTCCGTGCCATTTTTGGAAAGAGTCGGACATGTTAAACTACATGTGCATACATCCTTCATGTCAAAGGGCAGCATGCCCATTTTTTTTGTGGAGACAGTGATAAATGAGATTCCATGAGCAAGTCCCTTCGGTGCAAGGAAAATCATGTTGAAATTGGAGGATTTGAGGACTGTCGGGGTTACCCATCAAAAACCTCCTCAGAAGTGGGCACGCGACATGCATTAACAAGTTGTTTCCTGCAAGGCACAGAATATGCATGTCTGACTTTCGTCTCGATGAGCATAAAACCCACACAGCAATTCTGCACTGACCCCTTTTGCACAGCATTGATAGTGTTCAAGTAACCCGTGTGAGTACTCATTGAGTCCACTGGAATGCAAAAAAGTCCTCTCACCTGATGACCTGCGCCTTCTCGTCAGCCAGCTGCATCTTCCTGATCCGCATGCGCTCCTTGGGGGTCAGGTGCTTGTAGGGGTCCTGGACAGTGGGGCCCTGGTGCTGCTGGGGGTGGGGCGGGGCCTGCTGTGGGTACTCTCGCAGCGAGACATCCTGCAGGTCCTCCAGGTGGGTCTTCTCCCTCAGCAAGGTGGCCAGCTCCTGCGTGTCCCGCTCGATGTACTCCCGTGACTCCTCCCGCTGTTCCTTCATCTCCACGATGCGCCTCTTCATCTTCTGCTCGAGAAAATGAGGGGTGGACGAAAAAACAGGGGAACCATTCTTAGCCTGTTCTAAGAAGTGCTACTGGGTGTGCCAGGTATTTCAGTATTTCACACAAAGCGTGCAAACAATGAAGCATGTCTCTGGTTTTCCGGATGATCAATTAACACTCATGCAGTATCGGCTCTATCAGTGCGACCACACACTGACTCAAGCAACCTGATCATGTCCAAGCTAGCATCGCATCAGGTGATATTATTCCAAGTGAGACCTTTATCTAGCTAAAATTATGAATTGGCTTGTATCATGGAGCCACTGATGAATGCAGAAAAACATCTGCCCAGGGCTGGAATTCAAAGCATGGATCTGAGTCGAAAGGCTAACTGCCTACCACAAGAATGTTCATTCTGACAGGTGTACTGGTTGCTGCCTCTATGCCTATGCTCCTAGTGCACAAAACTGCTTGTGTATTGTGAACTGAACTGACTGGCAGTGCTGATAACACAAGAAGTAGATGCTGAGAGTTGAGAGAAGGCTTAAGCAAGCGAGGGAGTGAACATGTAAAGGCTGGAGGGTGCCCCAATAAATATGAGCGCACGCGTACGTGGTCCTTGTGCAAGGAATCCATCGGGAAAGGGTACGAGGGCTGTGCACGTACTTTAAGACCTGCTCGCCAAGACAAATGTTGTCTCAGCAGTGTCTTTTAAAGCTATTAGATAAACTTCTATCTTCACAGCCTACCTCCATGTGTCGCAACACAAATGGTAACTTTGTCACTTCGGTGGCTGACGGCCTCTTGTCAGGATCTCGGTTCAACATTCTGCAGGAGTAACAAGCAGAAGATAATCCCCTGACACATCTTTCTGCAGACAAACCTGACACGGTGTGTTTCAAGGAATGGTTTGAAGAACTCAACCTCAACTGAATGGCAGTCATAAGGCCTTTGTTGGCCCAAGAATTCTGGCAAGTCAACTGAAACATTTTAATACAGGTCCAACATGCTGAGTTTGAAGTAACTCAAATGGATTACACTTAGAAAGACAGGAACAGACTATTTCAGCGACCCCCTTCTGCCCCCCGGTGTGGGCATAAAAAGTCGGACAAGATGGCAGCTAATTTCATTGTGTACAGCAAATTAACACATTTTTTTTATCTAGGATGAAGTCCTTTTGCAGAGGGCTTCAAACTCTGCACAACTTCTGTACTCAAGGAGGTGAACATTTGGCCACCCACCGAAATTGAGAAACCAAACTCAGGACCTTTTTTAGGGCCACATACTTACATATTCAACAGCTCTTGGATGTTGCTGTCGTACTTCTTTGGTATCTCTGGGATTTTTCCTTCCACTATCTTGTACATGACGCCCATCAGTGACTGGCCCTCAAAGGCATGCTGGAGGGAACACAACTCGTAGAGTATGCAGGCAATGGACCTAAATAGGAGCAGATGCACGGGACAGATTACTGTGATGAATCCACCTTGAGCAGAAGCACCCCCTCATTGGTTGAAAAGAGCAATGTTGGTGGGGAGTGCCCATTTTGTTGGCAGCTACACAACCGGAACGCGTGCATTTCTCAGCCTTTTGTGAACCAGTGAATTTGAAGTTCCTACCAAAGGAACCTCCACTGCTAGGATAGTTGCGCCCTCTCTTGGTCCTGCTCAGGGCGGGTAGCCTCAACCACTCCAGCTGAGTAAATGCCGTGGAGATGCAACACAGCAGATAGTTGCCTAGTAAATAAAGTATCTACTTAACAAAAACCAGTTCCCAGCTGAAAATGCTACAAAAGCACTGCAAATTGCTCTTGACTGATTTTTTGGGCTGATTTTTGAAATTTGTAATGGTAGTACTTTTTGCTTGGCTGCATGACGAAACTGGGACTAGAACTGCCCGACTCCCAGCAATAGGATTCCAAAACCGTCAGTTGAGAAGTGGCCTCAGCAGGTCACTATGAATCTTGCCATCTTCATTAGAGTGTCCATGTTTATTTCCTCCACAACTAATGCAACTGGTGCTGAGGGGATTCTATTGGGCAGTAACGGTCAATGGCACTGCGAGTCAACTCGTATGGAATATGGTGTGTGCATAGTATGCACACTTGTTAACATGAGTATGTGTGGGGTGCAGTATACACAATTGATTTTCGTGTAAATGTGCACAAACAGACAGCATCACAGAAGAAATGACATTCTGCAATGCACAGGCTTTCGACTAATCAATTGCCCACCTGCCGATATTTCACTGATGTCAACAGAGGATCACAGCGCATGACACACAAGTCACCATCTACCAATACTAGTAGCAGAAATTTAAGAAAGGAAAATATAGACACAACCCACGACATACTCACCAAACATCTGATTTGGAATTGTAGCCCTCATGTTTTAGCACTTCAGGGCTCATGTAGTACGGGGTACCGGTGAACGTGCTGGCCATGTCGGTGGTGCCCATCAGCACGCGGGAAATGCCAAAGTCACCGATCTTGATCATGTTGTTCTTCAAGAAGATGTTTCGGGTCTTTAAATCTCGATGGAGGACTCTCCTACATGCATATTAAAAAAAATAAATAAATAAAAAAATCGACACACACTCTCGGTCAGGATTTCCTTTGAACTTTACTGCTATCCTACAGTAGATACACCGTGTAATATCCAGTTGTTTATCCCTAATAGCCCTGAATCCTCCAATTTTGATATGATTTTGCACACACCCCAGGGAGTTAGGGTTATTCCGACAAGTCACTGCACACTTTCTAGGGTAACAAATGCAGTCACATATTAATTTGACAGTGCAGTCATTTTTTCCCATTATGCAGACAACAATGAAAAGGCTAATCCCTTCAGGAAGTATTAAATGCATACATGTATGATGAAAACTGTACATGTACGTACATGTAGGATTTCATAAACATACATGTATCAACAGGTAATTCAAAGTTTTGCAATTTAAAATTTCAATAAATTATTACTGAAACGACAGGAATCCTATTTACCAGATTAATGTAATAAAAAATGTTAAACCAACTTCTCAATATTATAAAAATGTCAAAGGAACAATATATTTTACATTCATTTGTTCATTGCATAGTATACCTATTTAAAACAGTTCCTTGTAATAACTGTTTTGCATCTGTTCGTTAATAAAAAAACTCTCCATAATGGTACCTGAAGATTCATGAACAAATTTTTCCTCTTAGGAACAATCAGATACAAATGTACATTAATTAAAACCCAACCCAATAGGGTGTATAAATCGTATTGAAATTGGAGGATTTGGGACTGTTAGGGTTAAGAAAAAATGTGGATCAATGGAATTCAACCCTTGCTTTCAAGTATACATTTCATCCTGCATGTTGATGTCCTCAAATGGATATAAACAGTTGCCATAGGAACAGTGATTCATATTTACCCTCCTGACCAAAGAGGTCACCTGTAAGAGTGCCTGAGGTCAAGCAGCCAGCACTGGGACCTGGTGACATGTGACCTATTGGGACTAGTTTTAACAGATGAGGGCCCGTTAATCACAATAGAGCTGTCTACTGTGTGGAGCTGTGACAGGTTGTTGGGTGTAAAGTTCACTGATTACACTTACAGGGATTGGTACTGTACATGTACATGCTGTGTACATCTTATTGTGTACATCACATGTCTGCATGTGTAGCATACATTGTAACGAGTTTCACCTGCTGATACATGCAGAGTGTGTGTGGATGAATGGTATCAATAGCACGTAATGCATGCGCAAACTATCAATCAGGGCCCTGTAATAATATTTTTCTGTGCCAAAAAATGTCTGCATTTATGTTTCAGAATTAAGTGTCTCTGGGGGACACTACACGGCACATTCAATTTTGCGTGTCATGAGGATGCAATGAAGTTGATTTGGAAAATTGAATCATGTTGGAAATTATCAGCAGGTTTTTGTTTGGGGCAATTTCTCTGAATGCACACACAGCATGAGGTTTACTTGAAAATCCAGCTTCCATTTCATAATTAGTATTTTTTTATATTCCAACTTGTGTCAATCATAAACAAGAACTAAACCTCACTGGCATATTACATATGAGCCCTATACAAAACTATGTCTAAGCTTCCAGCAAATCAACCAATGGTGCTACATCAAACTCACATGAACTTCCAACCGATGCAGAAATAACACTGGGCTGTTTGTGGTATTTACATTGATGAATGTTTTTTGTGAGTTTTGCTTATTTTGTACGTTTTAGGGAAATTTATTGCTGAAGTCTTAATTTGTACAATGTTTACACAGACAGAAGCTGCAACGTTTGTATTGCTTCATAAACAGGAAATATCTCACAAATTAAACTTTATCAGGACAACCAATAAAATCGCACCCCTTGCATTTTTATAAAAATTGTCCCAAACAGTTGACTCTGGACGAGCAGTACTCAAAATACCTTTTTTCCATTGTAACACGTTATTTAATGAAGAAAATATGAACTTTTGTGGAAATGAAACAAGTCATCAGGTGTGTTCCAATTCAAGTGACCATTTAAACTAGAGATGCAATAAATTGGAAGGAGACAATTATGAATATTGACGACTGATTCTCTTATCCGATACTAAACTCAGACTTCTGGGAAGCCTGTGTTTTAACTTCACACATTTTTATCGACTCTCAGAACTTGTTCTCAAGAAACAAATGCACATTTTTGAGAACATGAGGTCTTTGGAACACTATTACCTCCTTAAATATCAGTAGTCCTATGGTGGTCAAAGACACAGTCAATGGAAGCTTACTGCACGACGATGGAAAAAATCTCTTTTTTTTATTTCCACAGAGTCCTTTTAGGTTACACACAGTTTCCCCCTCCATATATACAGCAGACACTGACACTGACCTGCTATGCATGTGCTGAACGGCAAGCACCAACTGTACAAACCAATCCATGATCAGGTTCTGGTCAAACTGCCGACCGGATTTCTTGCAGGCCGTGATCTTGTCGTCTAGATCCCCGCCCTGCATTGCAATCAAGAAGTTTAGAAACTTTCAAGACTGATTGATACTGTTTCCCAAAATGATGAAATACATGAAACTCCCCGGGCATGTCAATACGGGAACCTTACTGAAAGCTAAATTGGATGAAACAAAATACATGTATATGCATGTACACGTATATCAAATGTGGCATCAGTTTGCTGCCAAGTGGTTGGTTTCTGAGACTTCTAAATTCAACCAAGCGAGAAAACCTTGAGAAAAAAGTACTAATAAAAAGATATTTTCAAAAATGCAATTTACAAGAAAAAAAAAAGCAGGCTGCCATTTTATCACACATTCATGAATACCTCAGTCTCCCTATTCAACGTGTAACGTGACCATGCATTAACATCTGATAGTGCCCACGGAGTGGCATAATGCCCACTGCGTAAAACATGCACTGGTACCTGGATACGAGAGTTTACACTATCCTTATTGGTCACGAGTCTGCATGTGACACAACACGCAGAGTGTGTCATGTAGGCACCAAGTAATACACAAGGAGATTCTATTGGACAACTTTCAAAACGAATACCATAAAATGGACGGGGTGTTCGGAAAAATCAAAGTACAATTTTAACACAATATCGTTGGAAATGCATCATTCAATTCTTTTGACTCTCTCAATATAAAAAGGTATTTATGAACGGGAATAATTATGTGCTTGGCCGGTCTTAAACTAATGTTCAACACCTTGCTCAGGAGAACAAATGTTGATAATGCTCTCGCCTGCGACTCGGGCATTAGTGGCGTCCATTCTCCTGTGCCGGTCTTAAAGCATGTTTAAGACTGGCCAAGCACATATTTATTCCCTTTGTTCAGCTCTACCTTCCGTAACCTACAAGGAAAGAAGATTCCTGACACAATAAAATTCAACTTGACACTGAATGCAGCCCCATTGCACTTTTTATTCGATTTACTTAATTAATTTACTTAATTTTACCTCGCAGTATTCTGTGATGATGCAGAAGAACTCCCCATCCAGGAAGCTGTCGTTGAACCTGACGATGTTGGGATGGTGCAACTTGGACAAAAGCTTGGCCTCGTGCATGGCGTCCACCGTCTCGTCTGGTGCCAAATCGCTGCACGATATCTCCTTCAAGACTTTCCTGTAATAGCCCACAAATTGTTTCAGGAAAATCAAAATCATTTATCAGAGTAAGGGCTTGTGTGATCAGATAGTTAGCAACCTTGCAGCGTTTTGACAAAATTGGCAGCATAGGAAACGTACTATGCTACATGTAATAATTAAATTAGGTATTGGTCTGAGTTATCAAGGATTCAAAGCCTATGGCCTCTCCCCTTCTCCAAATATTAATCAGAGCATTGTGGACAAAAAGCTGTAGTGGCTGCTTTTTTTTTTCTCCTCGAAAAATAAACATCCTCCCTAAAAAAGATGGCCACCCAAGCTGCAAGATGTGGAAATGCCAGAGGGCCTGTGAATGTCATGTCTGGTATCTGCACTCACCATTCCTCTTCCCCCTTGTTGGTGTTAGCCTTGTTGTCATGCACCAGGTACGCCGTGCCATAGTTGCCGCTGCCCAGCTTTTTCTCCACCAAGTAGCGGTTGGCCAGCACACGGTGGTCGCTTTTGTCATCCTTGGGTTTTTTGACACCTCGTGCAGGAGGCATGGTGGCTTAAGACCTTTTTGGGTCGCTAGGTCTGACGAGAAATGAGAAGAAATACTTCTGGTCTGGTTAAGTGTGTGTGTCTGAACGTTTTTATCTTGGCTCAGAATGTTGGTCCCATTTCCAGAAAAAAATACCTTGCATTCCTGTTTCTCAGGTTGACATGTGCATAGAAGTTGAGGACATGCCATGTGCTTGCCTTCAGTACCATTTCACAAAAAGGTACATGTATATTTTAATTGCGAGTATACAGACAGGGATTTCTGCAGGAGAAAAGTTAGATTTCCAAGCAGATTTTACATAAAGTATATTTAAAAAGAATACGGAATCCAGATTTTCACAGCTGCAAACGAATCTTGCAACAATGTGTTCAATCTTGTCAAAACGGATCCGTCCCACCATTCACAATACACCTGTACACTTCTTGACATGAAAAACTTTGCACCAGAACAGCCAATGCTGACAGGATTGACCAGGTCGACCAAGGTCCTGAACACTTTTTTTTCCACAAAAAGGGCGTCCGAGTAACTAAACTGTTACTGATTTCTGAGTTTTTTGTGCAGCCCGACGTGAATTATAACACTGTTTACTCAGTGTTTCCTCCAAAAGCTTGGGGGAAAAAAAATACAAGCGTGGTCAGGAGGTGGGGGACTCGAATCCACAGCTTCCTGCTTACTAGCGCAGACAGCATAACCACTCAACCACCGAGCTTGCTGCTGTTGGCTGGCTGGTTCAAGTCAGACGTAGCAGTGGGCACCACAAACAACTATTTCTAACGATGAGTTTGCATTTGAGAGGATAATTTACAATTTTTTTTCACAAGCCTTCGGGAGGAACAGTATACTAGTGTTATAATACACTTAAGGCAGGGCAAAACAATCTTTAGAAAACATCTCCCCGACGCAAATTCATCCTTAGAAATAAACTGTAAGTGTTTACATTTTGCCCTCTTCAGTGATTGGCCCTTTTGCGAGTATGAGAAGTCATGCTTCAGTGGCTGTTTAACATACCATGCTCATGAGATGTAAAAATTTATGAAGCAAGGAAACGGACTGATCTGCCATTCCTGAATTAGTTCGACAATACTCGGTTTACTCACTGCACTACATGTATGCTTAATCAGCGGTCAATTTTGCAGTGACACAAAGCAGCTGTCGGCACTTCGATGATTGGTACTCATTTACACAGGTGTTTCGCAGAGCTCTCACAACTTTGTATGTTAAGGAATCGCAATCAAATGCAAGTCAAAATTTGTCCGTCGCGAATATCCATGTGCTACATGTACATGTATGCTTACAATGGCAATAAATTTCTTCCCAAATCGTGGGGGAAAGGAAAATTCCCTGCAAATAGCAACCTGCAGATTGAAACTCAAGTTGCCTGGTAAGCATAATGATACTCAGATTATGAATACGGGCAAAATTTAGGCTCACAAAAAGTAGCAGATTATCAGAGGGTAAAATTCACATGTTTTACGTACATGTACATCCCAAGTCAGGGCCCAATATCGACAGAGGATACTGGGCCCCGTTTCCGGGTCTGGAAAACAGTTCCACACACAGACATCACTTCACAAGCTGTGCACAAACCCCAAGAGACTGGTCTGGAAATTTCTGAGTATTTTCTTAGTACATGTACCTCCCTGCTAAATTTGACATTTCAGGACACGCCATCACTTCCCAATGGCTGATACAACTAACAAGAGAAAACCTAATGATGTCTGTTTATGGAACTCTTACCCGGGTCTAGACTGTGACATGGGTTTCAACAAGTCCAGATCAAGGTCACAAAGAGGTATTCATTCTTTACATGCTGCGGCAATTAAGCACTAGGAGCCTAAACTAGTAGCTTCAAACAATTAAATATACAGTAGCCAGTTCAGTGGTTCTGTACATGTGCCAACATGGAAATCACGGAACCAGCTATATGTATAGTGTAAAGCTGCCAGTTTGAGGCTATCAGTGCTTATGGTAGCCTTTAGTCAAGTTGCGCATAGCACACTCAGCTGGTAGAAACACCAACAAGACCAGTGCCAGTCGCAAAGCCACAACCGCCTTTGCCATCTTGTGGAGCTCATCACTATTAATTTATTCAAGGTTTAAGCACTGTAGCATACAGGGCGCTAACAAAATATTCAAATGCCACCACATACATGCAGCGTGCTTTATTTCAGCACCCAGCATGCGCACGCACAACTGTTCCATGATAAGTGGCTATCACCATTCCGTGCGTGCGGAAGTGTTGACTTAATGATCAAATGAAAGATATCAACATTCCTTGGCCCTGTGCCTTCTCTGATGTTCCTTGTGAGTGCGTGTGATGTCAAATAGTTTCAAGCTTAAGTGGCTGTGATTAATGCTTATTCGAGTTACTTGCCAATAACCTACAACAAGCACTAACAGGTGACTGATATCCTCTCCTAAGCATGCCAAAGTAAATGTAAAGAAAAACATGTGCCTTCTCCACAAGACAGTGGTGCTCATGGCTTCACCACTAGTATTGGTCTTTTGTGTGTTACCACTGTACTATTGTCCAGGGTGCAATAGTTTCATGTACAGTTGAATGTCCAGCTCCGCAATTTTGCCAGTTCCGCAATCCAGAAAAAACGGGCTTCATTTTCAGAACGACAAAATTGCTGGGGACTTGATTCATACTTCTCTGAAATAGTTTAGTTGCTGATCTTGCAGAAAATCATTTTTGCTTATAGAACCACAGCCGTAAATTAAGAAGATTGGAGACGATCATTTTTTGCCAATCGCGGTTCACAACAGCAGCACAAGTGCATTCCATGAATGTCGTGTTTGTCACTCTTTCAAACAATCCTTGCAGTGATTTTTTTTCAAACCAAAATCTATGTTACTTTCACAAATTATCAGCTATCTCACCATGAAAATATGAGTTCAGTAAAGGGCTCAATTCACCCGGTGCATGCATGCACCAGTGCATGTAGATTTTTGCTTGTGCATGTAGCTTTTTTTACTGATCATGCACGACGTGCATGTAACTTTTTTAACCACCAAAATGCTCATTTCCTGCATATACATGTATTTACCAATAAGTGAGAATAAGAATAAAGTTTGTTGAATTCTTGACCAAATAGTGTACGAAACGTGTTATTTCTTTCTCCCATTCCTCGCAGCAGATTCATAATACATATACATGTACACACCTAACCTTATCTTTGGCTTATAATCCTTAAATTGCTATATACAGGAATATGTGCTACCAGTATTTGCAAAATTATGGTGCATGTAGGTTTTTCCTGGTGCATGTACATGTAGGTTTTCGGTCTACATGCACCAGTACATGCCACTTTTTTTTTGTAAATCAAGCCCTGGTTCTGTACATTATCAAATAGGCCTATATAGGCATTGGATACAAAAGTGACTTCAAGATTTTTTGCCAGTTCCACAAATGAGTTTTACATTTCGTTACATACCACATGTGTGACATACCCCCAGAATTGTGGGGTTTGACGTCCGCCCCGCTCCCACTGTTCTGGGAGTAGGTCAAGCGCATGTCCTTCTGTCTCGGAAAAACAAACCTAGGCCTACCGTCATGACCGTGCAGATGGCGCGGACGCTGTGGTTCGCAGAACTGGCAAAAGTTTGCGGAACTGGGTGATTAACTACTGACCACCAAAAAAAAAGGCTCACTAGCATTCATCTTTCAAATGACTGCCCAGAATTGTTAAGTATGACTATATGTAGGGCCTAGCTGGATAATTTTTGGATAGGCCTAAGGGGCCTTGGATCCTGTTTCTGGATGAAAACCTTTCCATGAACAGACCACTGCAGACATGACAGATGAAAGTAAGTTTTCAAGGTGCCAGGAACTGTTTCTGTTTGCAGAACCGGTCAATCAGCTGTAGGCCTACCACTAGTACTAGCATCTGAGGTGCCACGTGCGCCTTGTCTAAAGTTAAAGGCTGGGGGGGGGGGTGGCGGCAGCGTGCTCAGAAGGCATGTCAGGTGGGCAGGTGGGTGGACAATTAAGTTCAAGGCATTACCATAGGCCTGCCACTGGACGATGGATGACGAGTAAGAAGAAGCGGCAATTTGGCCTACGGAATACATTGTAGGCCTATTCTTTGCAAATTTTCGTAGGGTATTGAATGAATATTATACTGGTTGGATAATATAATACAAAATCACCTCAAAAACTAAGTATGACCTTCAAATTTAGAACCAAGAAAGTCTTACCCTGGGACTATACATACGTCACGTCACATACATGTACGTCGTGCGTTGCCAGGACATGAACGCCGACTTGTGTCTGGTATCCGACCCTTTAGGACGCATTCCTTGCAACAAAAACCTGAACCAATTATGCCGGAACCAACCCGCCCACCAGTACCAACCCATGCATTGCGCCCTCTGCGTTAACACTCAGTGGACACTATCGATATGCGGAAGTCCGCAATCTGGCCGAGTCGCATCGATAATCTGTTCCCGACTTGTCAGCGTGTGAGTGACGTTGCACTTCGAGCAGCCGTTTCTGAACAGCGAAGATTTCTTGAAAAGACTGTTTGTTGCATCATTCCAAGTCTTCTCTTAATACTAGTTTCATTCAGAAGTGGACAGGAATAAATCAAATCTGGGCCACAACGGCTAAAGTTAAGCGCTGCAGTAGTGCAGGCCGAAACATCTGGTTGCACCGGCATGGTTGCACAATGTTGATGACGACAACGTAAGTGAAATCATGGTGAAATTTACTCAGCCTGTTGAGTGCAAAGTAATGAGCTCGAACGTGGAGACCGTATATGAACCGTACATTGTTTCATATGGAGGATGTCTAGCATATGTTGCACGTTTAACCCACTTTTCATACGAAATATATTTCAGACATTGTTTTTTTTTGTACGAAGTCGAGGTTTTTGCCGTTATGTGGTTACACTTTATCTATTTTAAAAATGCTGACATTTTTGAAGTTCAGTGAACCACACGTAACATCAATACAATATAAATAATAACTAAATTCACCCATGAACCTGCCACAGTCCAGAAAATATCCAAACCTTTTTGTATACTCACCTACATGTACCATGCCTACAGTAACAAGTGAGTGTGTAGCCATGGTAGCCCTGTGGTCAGAGCATGCTCCCTGATCCTGAACACAAACCTACATGTACACGTACATCCCCTGAATGATTCAGGGATGTACATGTATATGTACAAAAGTTTGCATAGTTAGTTGTCATGCTAGTACATACATAAGCAAATTATACATGTATCAAGGACCAGTTATCACCCAACATCCAATGCCCTTTATAGAGAGCCTCGTTAAGTAACTCTTGAAAATGGATTGTTGGTTGCATTTTAAATGTAAACATATGTATACATGTAGATGGATGGTTTACGCGGTCATTGTCTCGGATGGAATGTATGCAGGACTAGTGACTTGACTTTGAGAATGGCTTATTTAAACCATGGCAGGATATGGAAATGAGACAATTTCTTATTACAGTTTCTCACAAAAAGTTTATGATAAACACCAGAATATCACATAAGCAAGTACATGTACATGTACCACTTCCTACAGTATCTGACTGTGCCATGAAAAATTCACATTTTTTGTGTACATTTTGTCTTTTATTTACAGGTTGACGGAGTTGCAACCAGAAGTTTCAAGAAATTTGAAGAAAGGCTTGGGCAGGGTTTTTTTTACCCATTACACAAACTTCATACCAGTATATTGCATGAGTCACCTTGCTACCAACTCCCATATATTTTGACATTGGAAGAAATCATTGTGGTGTGAACAGTGCATCATGGGAGTAAAAGGACTTAGCTCTATGATTGAGCAGTATCCGTCACTGTTCACAAATCACTGCCTGCATGATGAGGGTCTTGTCATAGACGGCTATGCACTCCTGTTTTACCTGTATTTTGATCGCCCTCCGTGTGATGATGGGCATCATGGTGGATGCTACGAGAACTTTTCAGCCAAGTGCAAGCTTTTCTTTCACAATCTTGCCAAGTGTAATGTTTCTCCTTATCTGGTGTTTGATGGAGCCATGGAGAAGGACAACAAAAAGCTTGCAGAAACAAAGTCCAGGAGCCTGGAACGCATCCGGACAGCTGTTGCTATTTCTGGTGGCAGTGGTGGGATAGCTGTGTCTCCCTGCAGTGTACTGGTATTTATCAAGGTGCTTGATGATCTTGGCATTCCATATGTATTTTGCGACTTTGAGGCTGATGCTGAAACTGCAGTACTAGCCAATGCTTGGAACTGTGTAGCAGCTTCGCGTGACAGTGACTTCTACATCATGGACCTAAGAGTTGGGTACTTGCCACTTGACTATTTGGACTGGAAGAATCCAAGAAAGACGAAGGCACCGGAAGCAGCGGCACAGTCCAGAAGGAGAAGGTGTAAAATGTCAACTGAACCTTCAGCCAGTGAGCTGTACATTGAGTGTAAGAAATACAAACGTAGTGCACTGTGCAAAATGTTCCATGTCAAGCAGACATTACTGCCAGTACTTGCCACTGCTGTTGGGAACGATTACAAAGACACCTTTGGGGCCTCTCTTGACCCATTCCACAGTTTTGTTCACTCCCAGTTCTCTCGGTCAAAATCAGGCAGTAAGAGCCACAATCAGATTATCAGCTACCTGTCCTGGCTGAGTGAGAAAGAGACCATTGAGGAAGCTGTTGGAGACATGGTCAGGCACGTGACAGGTGCCAACCTAGAGAAGCTGAAACGGCTCATTGATGCCTCACTTGAGATGTACCAACTGTCAGACAGCGAACCTTTGGGACATGTGTCTGGAGGTCTTGGGAAACCTGCCAAAAGCAAGTTGGCAGCATTTGTCTCTGTACCGCCATGGTTTGTTGTGCTGCTGAACGAGGGTAAAGTGTCGGCATTGTGTGCTAATGTCCTGTGCAACAAGAGGGTGTTCCTAACTGTTCAAGTGGAAGACCCTCTCCAACCTAGTGCTGGAAGAGCATCACTCAACATCAGATCCGTCTTGTATGGCATCCTGCTCAAAGAGCAGAAGTCAGCCTCCAGGAGACAGCCAGTTGTTGAGGAGTATGCGCAGTCCTTAGGAACGCTCAAATACAGCACTGTGGAGCCAGTCTATGAGATGGCTAAAGATGATGAGCACAGGTTAGCCATGCCGGGTCTGCAGGATATCCCAGCCATGTCTGAGACTGATCGCAGAGGTGTTCTCCTTGCCGCAGTGGATGTTGATGGCTCAGTCATTAGTGGCATTCCAGCCGTGTTCCAACTAGCCACCTGTGTGACAGTGTACTTGCTCAGTCATGCAGACCCACCTGTCTACTCGGACCATGCTTTAGCAGTGATTGTGAGCTGGTTACATGGAGTGGCAGCAAGCAGACAGAGACACATCAGCAAGGGTGAAGCCACCCCGGAGCACCTGCAAATGGACATGGAAAACTCTGACGTGCATGCCATACTCCGAAACTGCAAGCCACATGCAAAAAAGTACAAGGAAACCAGAAGGTTAGATTCGGAAGTGATCCAGGCAGTGGCACAGTGGCAGCAGTGCTTGCTGGACTTGGAGAACCTGAACAAACTCCTGCTCTGTCCCTATATGCATCCTGACATGGCAGTCCTATACGATGGGCCCCTGATTCATAGCTTCGTCCTGATCCTGAAGTCGATGACCATGCGGGAGCAGCGGCTGTGGGTGGGTTCAGAGCTGCTGCGGGGTACAACGTCAAGGGTTCAGGCTTTGTTTGATCAGCTCCTGGAGCCCTGTTGGCCCCTCCTCCTGCCAAGGCAAAAGACCATTAGGGCCAAGAAGGGCAAGAGGGCACAAAGGGGTGCATCTAGGCAGTCGTCATCGGGCACTCCTGCTCAGAGCGGAGGAGCTGCTGGAGGTAATGCAGAGGAAGAAAATGACAAACTGGCTTACGGTGTCAGAGTTTTCAGCAGGTTTGCCCCACTTGGATTGAGTGACAGGTGGGATCCTAGTCAGTCATGAATGAATCCTTCAATAAACTTTGATTTACACATTCCAGTATACATCCACATCCCAACCTTTGTGCTCATTACTTCTGCTTACGCACTCGTATGCAGTACCTACTTGTGTGGGAACAACTCATTGTCTACTGAAATAAAAGGGTGTTAGTTTTGAGGCTAAAGGAGACACATTCATGCTATGGCTGTTGGCCTGTTTGTTTTATACAGATACGGATCTCGATCAGTGATCCAGTGGTTCACAGACACTGGTACTCGCCCAGTGGATGGAGCATTGAGATAACTGATCGAGATCCAGGTTTGTGTGAAACAAACAGGCTCTATGAGGTGACTTCATGAGTGGACATTAGCCATGGGCAAAGGTTTTTGACAAGTTGGCAGTTGTCAAGATTTTTGTCCTTTTTTATTTTGTTTTGGGAAGTCATGTAACATGCACCATGTTCATGCTAAAGTTTTCAGAAAAGTGTTCATGTTTAGAGAATGGGAAGTTAATATATAGGTGCAAGACTTCTCAGTTTTTCTCAGTTGGTGGTGATGGTCCTTTCCTGCAAATTTACATGTAAATGTGTGCTGTCACGTGTACTTTAAAAGATTTTAGGATGCACTTTTGTTAAACCATATGGTCAGACAAATACATGTATGTAGACTTATATGAAAAGTTTAAACTAAAACAGCCTCTGGTGATGGCCATATTTGGATTGTAGTATCTAGCTTATTAAAGAATCACCATTGCAAACACGTCCCAAACAGACGCAGTGATTTTACCAACGTCGCTTATACTGTTATAAATCAATACCAATTGTAAATGAATACTTTTATCCAAATGTCGCAACTTAATGATACATACAATTTTGGCTTGGAAAATTTTAAATTTCTAAAAGGAACCTTACTTTTTGGTGCTAGAAAGAATTTGAAACCTTAACTCATTTTAAGGCATTGCAAAAGGATTTGAAAGAATTATTATAGAAGGTTTTTGTAAAAAAAAATGTTGACCATACATTCGCTGGTGCATGACATCATCATGAAGTGATAACGTTTCCTGCTGCCTTTGCCCAAACACAAAACATGAACTGCAAACATTCAAGCAAGAGGGGCTCTCTACATTATCCATTCTTTCAGGCACATTTGATGTCTCTAGTGTTGTTTTGAGGTTCCATCTTAAGGAGATCTTAAACATATTGTTTTTTGTGAGTTGAATGCCAGTTCTAACTTTAACCTATATATTGATTACATAATTTTGATAAATCACCTTCGATACAACACTGATCAGATGAGGAGTATACTGTATGTGTACATGTATGCAAATGTGTGTATGAACTTTCTTAATTTTTTAAATCATGGTATATTTATATAATCGGTAAAATTCATGATCAGTTGACTATGCGGAATATTTTAAACATAATGTTATCACAGTATAGCATGTTCTCCCGTGTTTTAACATCCACGCTGCTTTTAATTAACATTTAATATCTGTGCATTTCTAGTATACGTCTGGAAATTGTTAAAAATTGGTCATCCATGCGTAGAATTTCATGTACCAAACATGCTATTTTCAGTGGGAGGCACTAGCAGTTGAGCCAATCAGATAAGTGTTGAACCATAAAAAAAAACCGATTGGAGAAGTAATCAGAAATTCTATTAAAAAAACAAAACAAAAGACATTAGTAAAAGTCAAGGCGTCGGAAATTCTATGGTAGGGTTGCTACCCAATAAATTCTACCTCACATCGCCGAGTGAGGAGCTTCATCCACTTGCCCATCAGGGGGTTACGGGCTATATGAATACAACTTGAAAGATGTGAAATAAAAAAAAATATATAAAAACGGAGGGTCAAAAATACTTAACCAGGAATTGAACCTGGAACCTCTCCCTCTAAGGGTCAGCAGCTCTAACCGCCAGCCACTAGGAGATCTGCTTTAGGAAAACTTGAGGTGCCAAAACCATGGAAGTGCCAAAATTTCTTTGGTAGGACTTGGACCTGGCGCTCTGGAGTCAGCAGCTCTATCTGGATCACCGGGATCCTCTCACTCTTGAAAAATTCTATTGTGAACAAATTTAATAATAAACAAACAAACAAAAAACCCGAGGCGCTGAAAAGTCTTTGGTGGGAATTGATCCCGATGACTCAGCGGCTCTAATCACAGGACCACCTGGATCGTCGTACTTTAGAGAGGTTCCAAAAAGGGGTAAAAACGCAGGCGCAATAATTTTTGAAAGGACTCGAACATAGGAACTCCCGCTCTTGAACCAGCAATTGTGACTACTGGATCTTGCTACTCCTGGAAGGTTAAAAGTACCGCTTGAAAATTTTTCGTTACAAGAAAATTTGATGAAAATGGAGATTGCAAACATTCTCGGAAATGAATTCAACCCGGGAACTTTCATCACAGAGAAAGCGGCTCTAATTACTATGTCCCCAGAGGTCCTCTCACTCATGGTAAGTTACTAACGCCGCTTGAAATTTTTTTATCGCAAAAAAGTAAAGAGAGACGCAAAAACAAATTGTCGGAAGGAATTGAACATGGAATCTTTCAATTTAGAGACAAGTTCTATCTGGACCCCTGGATCGTGCCTCTTGAAAATTTCTTTCGGAAAAATTAATTCGAATGAGGGGCTAAAACTTCGCTGGCATGATTTGAACCTGAGACATCCCAGTCAGAAGTTAGAGGGAACAGAAGGTTTGCAAGACTGCAGTCTTGCAGGCCCGAGTGCTTTTCTACCACAGGGCATGCACAAAGGAGGTTTCCCTATGGAATAAAAGAAATGCCCTGCAAAATGGCTACACCGCAAGGCCTCTGTTGAACCTGGGACCATTGTTAGCTCCATGCCGGGACCCTCTCACTCTGGCTTCAGAAGCACCAGCTACCGTCCACCGGGTTGTTGCCATTTCCGAATGATCTAGATTGCAGACGACGCTTGATAAATTCGATGGCAAACAAAATAAATACGGGTGATTCACACAAAAGTCGTGTGCGCTTCGATGAGTTTAATTAAAGTACCAATCTCCAACATCCAAAAACTTTGGAAGGTCAGATTTTGCTTTCTTAATGCATGTTTTGAATTTCTAAGGATATATTTACTCGGGAGGTTTTGTGTAAGACGAGTAGAATTTGCTTAAAGGAGATATGACGGGCACAATTTTTAATTTCACAGAATTATAGAACATAAGATTAATTGTTTTTGCTGCATTAATTTTATACAACTTGAAGGTAGAGACAATAAAATGGGGCTTCAACTCTTAAATTCGTGAATCTTTCCCAAAAGATGTTTGGATCAACTTTTTTTGTCCATGTGAATTATTTGGATAAATATTTATTCTACACTAGAGTGTAAATAGCCAACGGGGATCCGAATAGGAACATTTGAAGCAGCTCCACATAAAAGTCACCAGTCCCAGTATCAGCCATCAATTCGTCCTAATTTCAACCTCAATAACGGGAAATTAAGCACACGCGGCCATTCTGCACATTAATAGAAACACGTCACATGTATAAGCCACAATTCGTTTCCTTTCCACGCCCCCTTGAAAATGATTGCACTACAAACCACGAATAGAAGAAGTACTTCCAAGGGCATTCACGAGAAAAAAAAATAAAATCCACAATTTTTGCAATGCATTTTTCTTTACTGCAAACCTTGAAAACATACCACTGAGCTTCAATAAACCTATACTTTCAATTTCGTTTGCTCTTGTAAATGGTCTTGGTTCCTTTTTGTTTTTATGCCAATGCAGATGTTCATATTAAAAAATATAACGTCCTGCAAGGGAAGGAAATGCCAAGGTTGCAATGGTTTGGGCAAAAAATGTTCATTTAAAAACACATGTAGTATCTATGTTGAACATGTCAAAATTCCCTGTCGGCCATATTGAATTCATAGCGAGGTTAACTATTTTTGCACCTGAGACTAGAAATTAAAACACTGGAATAAAACTTCATTACAATTAAATGTCAGTTATGCCAATGAAGAATGTGAAATTTATTATCTATATCTATATGCATGTAATTAAACCGCATTAAAAACATCAAAAAATAGTTTAGAACCACCCCGTTTAATATATTCCAATGAATAAGTTAAATTCTGTAGCAGTTCAAAAATGACTTCCCGTGAAAATGTTGAAGCATTCAAACACCAAGAACTTTTCAGACTGGTTTCACAGCGTTTCTGCACATGTATTATGTGTTAAGTTACGTTTTATGTAAATTCACTTAGTTTTTAAAATACCCTGTCATGAAAACTAATCAGGCAAATTGTTATAATTCCAAAAATGAATGCGGAAATGAAAGTGCTCTACAAAATCTTCACAAAATGAATTGATGAGAAGTTTGTTTCTGAAGACAGCTGTTAATATCTTTTAAATTAAGGTCTGTTGAAATAGCTGAAAAAAAAACAGATTGCCTACAAAAATTAATTGCAATTTAAACAATTTTCATGCAAGTCAACATACATCTACAGTACTTTAAAAATGACGAGTAAAAATACTGTACTTATGGCGAGTAACTACACTCTGCAAGTTATGTCTTTGGTTCAGTTTTTACTCGCAGTAAAAATGTCGAAGCAGATCTTCAAAAATAATAAACCATTTAAAAATCAGTATTAAGCGACTCGCAACAATGATCAATCATGCAACAGTATAAAACAAAAACAAAATTGGTTCAAATATCTAAAATGGTTGAAACTCATACAAAATATTGCATTTCTACACAAATTAAAGGTAATATATATCACTACTTTTTGTAGGTGCAATGTTCATATTACTGCATGTTAGCTGTTTCCAGAAATTAGGACAACAGAATTCTGTTCTTGCATATATGGATTCTTACATACTTGGTTAAAAAATAAATGCTTCTATGACTGTTCATTTTTATATCATATTTCAATATGTTCGCAGCAAAAATAGAAGTGCATTTTCTCTGAAGAAACTTAGAACCTGAGCTGTCAGATATGAGACGAAATGAATGAAAGCAATTATTACAGTGAGACATAA